AAATCAGCATGATTAAAAACTTCAGTGATTGCTTTTTTCTTCAAATAACAAGTCAAGAGAGTAGGGGTGCAATGGATCACAAAACCCATGGCTCGGATTGCATTATCATATCAGATTTTGAGTAACAGATCGGGTCATTTTGCAGATGAGCAAAAATAATTATTTAAATAACAGAATACATCTTTGATACCACAGCAAAAACTACTAGCATATAGGGACGTAACGATTCACTCAACTCACGATGTGATGCGATTCTCGATACTGATTTCACAATACAATTTTCTCACAATTTTTCTTTTTAACAAAATTAGATTTAAGACAAATTATAAATGAAAAGGTGTCCTTTTATTATTTCTCCAACAAAATGCTGCACATTTCTTTGTGAAATTGAAATATGACAAATAATAAAACTAACTTGAAATGTTTAAACAAATCCTAATTCAAATAATTGAATAATATAAATAAAATAAATCTCTTCATATAAATAAACTAAGGCTTTGGCAGTGCTTTTTCCATTTAAAATCAGAGGCAACCACTGCATTTTAATCACGATCCAAACAAAGATGCTAAATACATGTTATTTAGATTGCAATTAGATTGTATAATTTCGAAATTTGAAGTAAAAACAGAATGGTTTGATTTTAGCTTTGTGAATGAGACGCAAATGTCACTCTCTGACAGCAGGTGGCGCTTATGGAACAGCAGGTGTTTATAGGCTGCTGCCCCTTTAAGACCGAATGGACAGATCCAATATAATGATGCACTTGAGATTTCTTTCTCCATTGTTTACGTTCACTTACGACATAACCGACTGTGTTTATGAGAATACTTGCAGAGACCGTTATTTTGAAATAATTTTGTGTGTATGTTCATTCAGATGCAAGGATACGCAAAAGAGTAATCAATTCTGTGTGTGCGCATTGTCTGAAACGCGGCTCTCTGTGTGCGCAGCTCCGAAAGCGTGTGAATGGTTTAAAACACTTGAATGTTTAAATCGGCAAGACTTAGAAACACGTGCAAACGATCAACTACGATCTGTTTTACCCCATACAAGCAAGATTTTATGCAAATCAAGGAAGGAATTTTATATCACTGTTCAAGATAGCCCGTCGGGACAGGGTGGTGAAACATTTTGGTAGCCCGACTGGAAAACACAATAGCCCCGGGACGTCGGGCTAGCGATTTTGCGAGCCCTGATGTCCTATGGCTAAAAGTGCAAATTGTTAATGTAAATAGAGTATTAGCAATATTAGTGAACAGTTCTGTGAATCTTAATAACTAATTTACTGTTTGCATTTTTGTAACCACATGTAACATGTTCCATAACATAAAATGAGAGGTATTTTGTATTATTATTATTATTATGCAGTAAAATAATAACAATTACAAGTACAAAGGTAGAATACAAAAGACAATTAGGGTTACATAGGCTAAATTAATCCAAAGCAAACTATGTTAGCATAGGCTATAAGTATCACACCATAAGAGTCTTTAATTTCTTAAAGAGTTTAAAATCTTTCTTTAAAAAAAAGGAAGGAGCTGTCTTTGAAAATGTACATTTATGAATGTAAAATATGGCACGAAATAGGCCTAGCAACAAATAAATTTAAAGTGAGAAGGGTCTATTCAGAGTAAATACATTTTCAGGGTAAAACAATTTTCGGGGTTATATTTAGAAGTTAGAATATAGATATTTTTAACAAAATTAGAAAAGTCAACCCTA